TCATTTTTAAGGTAGCGTCTGCTCACAGGACATTTTTATTTTAATGTCGTCAGATATTAATATTTTCCTTTATGGTCTGTGCTTTTGAAGTTGGGTTGAGAAATTTTCCCTTAAACTTAATTTATAAATATGCCTTTCTTGAAATGAAAAAATTAAAAAAATGAGGCAATTGAGGAGACATCTCGAGCTTGGGCCCTCACCTGTCGGCTCATGCTTCATTTTCATCTCACCGCCGTCCCTCTCGTTCCAGTGGACTCTAGATTTTTCCTTGTCCAATCAATCATCCCCCTTCCTCCTCAATCCTCAGTTGCTCTGTTTTTCTGGCTATATCCCTTCAGCATTTAGGTCTGCTCACATCTCCCTATCCTTAAAAATAAGGAAATAAATAAATGAATAGTTAAATAAAGCCATCTCTGAAACCCATGATCTTATCTACTTGAGAAATACCCATCAGGTCCAGGGACATTATTCCATTGGTTATGAAAGAACGACCAGACAAGGCTCCTCGTCAGAGAAGTACCCGTTTATTGAGGAACAGCTTTGCACTTTTATGGGGGGGGGGCGGTTCAACAGAGCAGGATATTGGCACAGGGCGCTTTCTGATTGGTGGGTAAGGATCATGAGGGTCAGCAGGGCTCACCATTGGGCGGCTCTTCCCGCCGCTGTCTCGGGGCTTGGGGAAGTTAGTACCGGAAGCGCGGTCAGCGCCATCTTTGGAGCCGGGTTCGACTCCCAACAGGTTACTCTTACTGCTGCTTCCCTTTGTTGACTGTCCATGATTTTTTCAAGGACCCTTCTTATCTCCTAAAGTATTTTTTGTGCCTTAAGGTGGATTCCTTAACTCTCTCTTCTCAGTTCATGCATTTTCTTTCAGGAACTTTATACATTCTTTTGAGTTAACTATAAGCCAATGATTTCCAAATACACTTTTCTGGCCTTAATTTCTCTCCCAAGAATCAAAATCCATGCATATTCAACTGCTTTCTGACAATTTGAAGTTACCTCAAGACAACATGGTTAAAACTGAATTCATCATATTTGACTAAAATTCTTCCTCCTTCATTTTGGGATGGTTTAGTGTTCTATAATGCTTCTGAGTGTCACCAAGAATTTATCATGAAGGCCAGTAAATTCTATGTAATAACTTTGTTTGGAATCATGGTTCTCTTTTCTAATCATCTACTTTAATCTTGGTTTAGACATCCATTATTATTTTATTTTCCTAGAATATACCCTCCAAGTGAGGTTGTTTTCCATGTCATTACCACCTTGCAGGGTATTACTTACCTTGATACCTGGAAAACTTTCTAAAATTCAAGCATGTCCATGTCACTCTCCTGCTTAAAGTGTATTGAACCTGCTTTCTTTCTACTCTTCTAAGTAAGCTTAGTCTCTCCGATCTGGTTGGCAGTCTCCTCTACTGACTGATCTCTTCTTATCTCTATAGATTTTCTCTGAAGGCAATTCCCATTTAATTTCAGAAACAATCACCACAAGAAAAAAAAAATTGAAGTGGGAGACTCGCAAAGACTTCAGATTCAATTCTAGGAAGGTATTTCACAAAATCCAAGAGAGAACAAGTAAGACCAGGAAGTTGAGTCGGTCCTTTGATTTCTAGTCCCAACTCAAACAGAGTCTGATGTCTAAAGGTGTTGAACACTTTTGTCATATAATTGTTGGTATTTGTACTAATTCTTTTGAGAGTGTGTATTCAATTCATTTATTCATTTATTGATTGGGTTTTTTGTTTGTTCATTTGTTTTGTTTGCTTGTTTTTTCTTTAGTGTTGAGTTGCTGAGTTCTTTCTTTGTTCTGGATTTTAACCCTCTGTCAGAAGAGTGGCTGGCAAATATTTTCTCCCATTCTGTAGGAAGTGTTTTTTCTCTCTTTTAATGTTTTTCTTTTGCTATGAAGAAGGATTTTACTATGATGAGTGATCCTGGCTCTGTCACTGTTCTCCCATCTGGCTGGAGTGATAAAGCCCTGTGTTGACAGAGAGGCCACCTGTAAGGTGGCTTATCCCAGACATGCCCCTGCCATCTACCAAAAAGCTTCTCCACACTTTCAGGCCTTCAAGTCCCTGAGAGGAGTGCAGCTCTCCCACCCTGGAGTCCTCTTCTTACTCACCTCTATTCCTCTGTCTCTGATTCTACCTTCACCAATGTTAGGATTACCTTCAGTCTACTATCTACATATATTCTAAAATATATGTAAATATCCTAGAATTTGGCCAAACGGGAAAAAGGATTTAATACATCCTGTTTCTCTGAATTTAATTCATCCTGTTTCTAATTGTCTTGTGCTTTCCTGTCCTGGAATGACAATTATCATGGCTCTACAGATCGATGTAAGACTACTTTAATTAAGTTGTATTATTTAATATCTGCAAAATGTTTGTCTGATCATAACTTGTTACATGTAATCACTAAGAGACCTGATTCTTATTTTCTCTTCTTTCATCTTCTAGACTTTATATTAAAATCCCTTGATCTTACTTCATTCATCTCTGTTTTCTTTTAAAAAAAATTCTCAAATTCAATGGTGACTATATTCTAGGACACTGTGGTAGAAGTGTGCTGTTTAGTAAAGCATGACAGCTAAGGGCATGCTCCTTAATACCATCTCCCGTACCCTCCGTTCACCACCAGAGCCAGGATATCAAGATGCTGTTTTATTTCCTATCACCAGTAAGTGGCTCACATCACACTGCAGGATTCTAATATTGAATATGTCACATTTTGTCCTTCATCAAATAGTCTTAATATTTTCATAGGTGTTACTAGTCTTCTCTTCCTAATTAATCATAATCTTCTCATATGTTTCTATGTGCATGTCAGATTCTTCTTTGCAGTGTGAGATGAACAAACCATTAAAAATGCCTGATATTACAGCAGTCAGTGCGAAATACTGTTCAATTACACATTACTGAATAGCTCTTGATCCTTTCCACTCTGTGGTGGAGCAGTAGGAGAAAACCAAGAATATTTTCTGAATATTATGACCATTTGGTCTGTTGCTCTTCTAAGTAGGACAAAAGATATGAGAACTGGCCTGAGCACTTGCTATGCTTAAAGGTTGTCTTTTAATGATTTTCGTGGCATGCAAAAACCACAGTCTGTTCTTGTGCATGATAGCCAAACCAGAAAATTTCCAAATAGACAAAGAAAAGGAACTATTGTACCAAACCATAACCATAGGTAAATGTGCCCTTTATCAGCTACAAATGCTTCTCTTTCCTGGAGCTTGGTCAGTGATTCCTTCTGAAATATGCTCTTTAAATCTTCAATTAGGCCTCACTGCAACAAAAGACGAATGAAAATGAATAGAATCTCTCAAGTGATCACATAATCCTTGTGTGGTGCATTTGGCTCAGTTTTCTCTAAATTTACAATTGTATTTTCCTAGTCAACTTGTTTTAAATGGTTGATATGCCTACAATGGGGTCATGGCTAGGAGTCATTGCAGACATCGGTCCTCTTCCCTCACCCCCAAATTATACAAGTGGGCACAATGACACAGAGAGTGGACATTTATTTTATTAATTTCCCCTATAATACTGAGCTATTATTTTCAAGGATTCCTTCCTACTACCTCATGTAATCTCCTTTCACATTTCTAAGATGATTTATCAGGATTAAGGTTTGGGTCTTTGGTAAAAGAACATAATGAAGTTAGCAAGGTCCTTATATTCAACTGACAGATAACTGCAGTCATCTGTGGGTATATCCCACTACTAGAATTTGTCACAGGCCCTTGGGACTGCAATGAATATGTGTCTTTCCTTATTAGAAAAAACTTAAAAATTTCATAGCTGTAAAAGAAGTTAGGAAGCATTATCTTTATTCAGAACATTATTTTGAAATTAAAGGATTTGGTCTAATTAATGGTGCAATAGCCCTTTGCACCAGAAAGTGTTTTCTTATATAATTAGAAACCAATATGTGTTTATCTACATCTTTATTATAATATTTTCTAAGGATTCAAGATGCTTTTTGGATTTAATTTTTTTCTATATGATTTTTAGAACTAGCACTGAATTATAAATGAAACTGCTTTGTTAAGAACAACAGAAATTGAAGCTGTTGATTTGTAAAGTTTGAAGTCCACATCAGTATTCCAAACCACTCAATTGCCGCTATCTCATTAAATAGTGCTGGGTAGACACTTAAAGATTTTTCACACATTTTAATTCAGCTGGTAACTTGATTTAAAACAACATTGATTTTTTTTCAATTCATTCTTGGTCATGTATATCATGCTAAGTATCAAAATGAATTTGTAACTATTTGAGACTGACTGAGTAACAGGGTATTAAATTTTTGGAGAGACTTTTTTCCCCATGCTAATTTTCATCACTTTGCTATTACTTTCATTTCTGCTTGAGTTTTAGCTTTTTACAATTATTATTCATTCTTTTCACCATATATCTCAATCATTAAACAATTAAACCTTTATCAGGCATAACAGCAAGAAAGTTTGTGGACAATAATAAGGTTGGAAACTCCACTATACAAACAGTTGGCCCATCTCAGAAGATGCACGTCAAGCCAAATTACCTTTTTGTGATCATGAATTATGTTCTAAGATGGGCAAATGGAAAGATGAGCAGAAAGGGCAATTCTAATGGAAGAAATGATAGTAGTCCTCACCTTGGCAAAGCAAGCTAATACCTTGAAATGAAGCTGCCTGCCTTTGCTGCTAAATTAGGCACATATTACCTTAGCTGCCCCTGAATCTGTCTACTCTCCTTTAGAATTAACCTGAAGAGAAAGAACACACCTTTCAGAATTTAGAAGTCACTCACGTGACCATCTAACCTTTGCCTGGAAAACTTCTATTTAACCTAGAACTTATGGTGTGTTGATTTCATGAACTGGGTGAGATGGGGAGGAAGGAAGTTTATGTATACATAGTTGTGCTCTGCTTTACTTTAATTCTTCACTTTCTGTTGAAATCCAAAGTAAATGAGATTTTTCACTCTTGATGTTTCCTACGTGCAGAATTTCAGTGAGACATCAAACCCTGAGTGTGAAGATAGATCTACCAGAAATCACTGGCTGGTCATTGGAGCAGACCACTTGGCAAATTAAACACTTGTGAAGGACGATCATGGAAATCAAAGAAGAAGGAGCATCGGAAGAAGGCCAGCATTTTCTTCCTACAGCCCAGGCAAATGAAACTGGGGGCACTCAGTTCACAAGTAAGTATTTTTGTGCCCTTCCCCTTCAGAGTAAGTCTCTGAAGAAGCAGGCTGGGTCAACTAAACACAACCTGTGCACTCACAGAAATGGGAGTTCAAGCAAGTGGCATGAGATTGCACAACTTTTTCTTTTGCACTATTTATGTTGTATGTGAGTGTACAGTATGCTTCGTGTCTTTTATTCTGGGAGAGAGAGATAATAGTCCATGAAATGGTTAAATATAAAATGATAAATCACAGTAATTTATTTTGTATTAGCACTAGTTAATACTTTTTAAAGATATCTTTTATATAGTAGACTAGTTAAGAACATCTTGTATTTGGTATTTGTACATTCTTATGCAGAATTATATTGTTTGGAGCATAGATATTTTCTCTTTAAGACAAAAAGGCATTTTAGTTGAAAGTCTTAGTGAAAAATTGTTACACTATTTTACACTGTTAACAGGGTAGACTGTTGCTGCTCAACCAGAGAGCACTAATTCATCTCACTAGAGCAAGCTCAGAGATTTGGCCAAATTTTTCATTTGAACATTAGAATTGTTTCTTTTGTGTGTGTGTGCTATTCAAATAATTAAAAGCATTGGAAGAATTGTATGTTTCGTCTCATGCTTAAAATTCTGGGGTTTGCATTATATAATTTAGTATGAATTACATCTTTTTTTTTCCAGAAGTTTCTTGTTGCCCAGTTGTTGAACACTGACAAATATATTCCTAACCTTCTCTTTTATTTTATATTATAAAATTATCTTTAGAAAATGGTATTAGTTGGATGCATTTTCAAGAAGTTTGATTGTCAAAGCCTCCAGTGGAGTTAATTATTCATAACCTTTTCCAAAATCCAGTCTATTCGAATTTCACAAAGACCTACCTAATGATTGTCCCTCTAACCTCTCATGAAAAGTCTAAAATTATTAACCACAGCATTGTTAAATGTCAGCAGGAGAAAAAAAATAAGTGGTTACCATGCAAAAAAAAGTTTAACTCTGTGAATAAAAATATTATTTTTTATGAAAAGATGCGGCTTTAGAAATATATCAGTGACAGTTTATTTGAACAGTGTCTCCTGAGTGCACCAACAAAAATAAACAAGGAGAGTTATTTTTATCATATTCTTAAATTTATTGCCGAGTGGTTGCCTTTTCAATATGTTTTACGTGGGCTTCTTGAGCCACTCATGAGTTGTAATGGACAGCATCCCATTCATCCAGCCAGTCCTCACCTTCTGTGTGTCCGTCTGGGATCCACCTCCTTCCTACATTACCACTACTGCACCCTGACCATCCCACTTTCCTACCATTTCTAGATGTGTGCATTTCCATGCCTTTGTTCTTCAGAATCATCTTCCCTCCTATTTCATCATAAGTCATTTAACCATGTCACATTTTTTTTAAACATTGCTAACAAGAGGAATGGGCACGTTCATTAGAATGTTGGTTTAAGCTCTCAATAAATTAGCAGAACCACCAGCATCACGATGATGCCCGCCATAACCCTCTTTGGAGACTTCCTTTAGCTAATGATTTCCTTTGGTAAGGTGGTTCCTTTTAAAAGTTTTTCTTCTGTCTACATGCTTCCAAAAGAAATGGCCATCTCCAGTCACATCTAGTTCGGCTACAAATAATATGCCTTCTTCTGAGAACTTAAAATGAGTGAGCCTGATTAGCCACATGTGAATACATTCTGTCATACAATGTATTTGTATATTCTGGTCAGAGCGAAATACAGTAATATCTACTGTCATATTATTGACAATGAGTTGACTTTTTAAATCTGAATTTATACCTATTATTTATAGGTATTCAGAAGATTCCAAATGAACCACAGTTGGAATTCATCCTTGGTAAGGAATTTCATTTTATTTATACCAATAAGTATAATTCAAATTTGTATAGTAGTTTGCAAGTTATATATACATTACTTATATCATACTTTGCAAACTTTCAAGAACTTTGGTCTATTAAAAATGTATTCCATAAAGTAGGTGTAAATATCTCTAATTTTTAAATAAAAATTCCTGGATGCTGCTGTGCAGGGTACTTTGCTGCCCAAGGGTACAGAGTTCAGCGAAGGTAGAGTTTTACCTGTTAAACAGGTACGCTGACCACAGATCCCTTGCCAACATTCATTCCAGTTTAGTGACTGCTTTTTGTTGCTTGAAATCTGCTTGTCTAAATTTTTCATTCTTTGGGCTAGAAAAAGACTCCATGAAGTTTCCCTTTGTGTTTCTTTATGCCATTTACAGAAATCTTGCTCCCTTTCTGCCTTACTCAAAAATATTCACTTATTGATTCACTTATTCTTAAATATGGATTTTGAGGACAGATCTTTGGCACTTGAAAATTTAACTTTAAATCCAAGTTTGGATTTCCTTAAGCCATTTTCAAGTTCTGTCACTTGTTGAAATTTGTAACTTTGTCCAAGAATAAATTGAAAATGTGCACTGGGATGAGGCCACCCTGTTAGTATGAAAAGGGAATTTCTTTGGACTTGAACCACATATAACTGCAAACCTAGATGCAGAAAGGTATTTAATGAGGGTTAAAAATAGAGTTTGTATGAACTATTTAGAGAGTTCTTTTATTTTCTTCCTAGACGGTTTTGAAATATTTTGAAAGGGTAACAATATCTTTATGTTTTATTTTAAACTAGGCTTTAAAAACTATCACAGGCACATATCTAATACATAGTCCAGATACATTTTAGTACACAAATCTTTACATATTAATACAGGTATTTTCTTAAGTTTTGGGGCAAATTTAAATATGTACATATACTATACTGACCTTTAGTGGTTTAAATCCTAATTAGTTTAGGAACATATATTTGTATTAATTATGTTTCAAGTTTATATCCTTTGCTCAAAATATTTCACTTTGAAGAATAAATTTTTGAGAATAATAATTGTGTATAATTTGTGTTTTGAACATTTTATTTTTGTTATAAATCTATCTAAAAGGTGCTGTGACTAAGGATTCTAGATTCCCTCTCCCCGCCAGGTATTGAGAAACAGGGGGGAAATGTAAAAACTCTAGAAACTTTTGTGGGAACACCAATAAAGCTTTTACTTTTTTGAGTTTCAGATGATGTGGGATCGTAGACTTTGTTTTCAGAAATGAAGCTGAGCAGCAGAAGGAAGCCTAGGTACCCCAAGACTCACTGAGTAGACCTTTTCCTACTTGGTGTGTACCCACCTTTGATATTTTAGAGAAGGAGCTTCTTTTTTACCTTTCTGATACACCTTCTGAAAGTTAAGATCTGTTAGATTGATTTGGTGTATTTCAAAGTACAAGCAAGCCTTCTTGTTTGTGTGCTGGAGAAAAGGGGAATGAGAAGTGGGCAGAACCAGTTGGAATGGAAAGTATTGAAGAGACATGGCCTCCAACTTTCCAGAGACAGGGTACTTAGGTCAGATTCCTGTCTACTTACAGTAAAACAAAACAGTGTCTTCTGTTCAAAGGCCTAATTGTGCTGATTATGTGAAAGCCTAGTCAAGTTCAGTAACAACGCTGTCCTCACTTACTTTTTTGGTTTTGAATCATAGCTCTGAATCACAGAATTGATTGGTGATAATGTTCTTCCTCTTTAAGAAACTTCATTTTTCCTTTTCCTGTATTTATTCAAAAATACACTAAGTCTTAGGAATAGATAATTTTACCTTTACAAATAGCAAGAAATGCCTGAAGAGTGAATATAAATTTACTAAAAAAGTTATTTAGTCTTCATGCAATTGTATTGTTGACTATGAAAGGCACATTTTCTAGACTGTTATGCTTCTTAGCACTTTGAGATCCTCAACTACACCATTTCTTGAAGAACTTAAAAAAAAAAAAACACAGAAAAAAAACCCCAAAACTACCTTTTCAAGAATAGCACAGTAAATCCTTGTAAGTTTTACTTAAGATTTCTGTCAGTATTTTTCCTTGGAGTTTTTTTTTTTTAATCCCACAAATTCTCCAGCTTCACCTATTATATAATTAACTTGTATACATTTCATATTGAATAGTGAGAGAAAAATAGTTTCTTAAAATATTTCGATCATTGTTTAAGGATGTGTATATTTAGTTAATCAGAAGTAAACAAGAACAAGTTTCGAGAAAAAAAATACAATGAGAACACTGTTTGTCCATCTAAAAGTTTTACATTGGATACTCTCTGCTAAAATAGTCAAATAAATTGAGAATTTCATGGACCTTGCTCCTTAAATTAAGGAAACAGCTGACTAATCATGTCACCAGGTATCATGTTGCTTTGCCCAAGTTATTTTTTATGAATAACTTTTGGCCATGTGAGGTCATAAAACCATTGCATCTCAGTGAGGTTCCTCTGCTACATCTTTATTCAGATAATTAAGGTAGAAGATTGAGCAAGCTAGTTGGTTAGAGATGTCTTGATAGCACTAAGTACACATGTGCTGGAAATGAAAATGTCTCATGTGCAATGTTGACCGTATTTCTGATGAGTGACTGTATTCATATTAATTTATCCTTTTTCAACTGCAACTCTGCTCCATACTATTTACTTCTTTGAATGTATTGATATGCTTTTTATTTTCACAAAGAAAAAAATAATTAAAACAGAACACGAATTTTGTTGATGGCTTAACAAAATTTATTTCAACAAAGTTGGCTTTCAAAAAGAGGGATCATTTCTCAAAATCTGGGTATATTTCCTCCTTAAAACCATTGAGGAAAATGTGTAGCGAAGACTAATCTTTAAAAGACATTAAAAGAAATTTCTATGAACTGTTTTAAGTTTACCTTCCTTGGTTATACTTACAATGCTGTCAGATGCCTCCATTGATTATCTCCAGTCAATGGAATGCTTAAGAGAATATTTTCATATTTTATAAATTGAAGTTAATAGATAGTGATTTCTATTGAATATATAGGAGAGAATATGATGTGATCCTGTTTTCTTGATTGGACACTGTGAAGTCATGTTCTTAATTTATTTCTTCATGGCTGATACCCAATCAAAGCCAAATGGCTCACAACAAGGTAAAATAAAAGATGCATTTTGTACATGTTCACAAGTTTTAGGGTTGATTATGATGTATATGGGAACATGAAAGCTCAGGGAAACCCTTACAAGTATAAGTCATTTATTCAAACTATATTGTGAGAGGAATAGAGTATTTAGAGATAAAATGATTTCAGCACATTGTTCTTAGCACAAGATGAAGAGTCCAAATTCAGAATGTACCCAAAAGACAGGCAACAAATACTTCTGATCATGCCTAGCTATAAATAGGTGTACAAGTCAGTTTCTAATTGTTGTAACAAAATACCCGAGAAAATGAAATTATAAGGAGAAAAGTTTATTTTGGCTTGAAGTTTTAGATGTTTCAGTCCATGATCCCTTGGCCCTGTTGCTTTCAGGCCTGTGATGCGACAGTTCATCACATCATGGTGGGAGCCTGTGGCTGCCCCGTGGCAGCTTGAAAGGAAAAAAGAGAGAGGAAAGAGACCAGGGTCCCAATATCCTATTCAAGGTCATACCACCAATGGCCTAAATTCCTTCTACAAGACCCCATGTCTTAAAAGGTTCCCCCACTGGTCAGTAGCATCACAGCCCAGGGACCAAGTCTTTAACACATAGGTTTTTGAGGTCATTGAAGATCCAATCTATAGTAGCAGGATAACCATCTTGTCTTCCTAGAGGAGAAAACGCAGAGTGCTCTCCTTAAATAGATTTTTTGATTCATCTACTTCCTCTTTCTCTGGAAATAGTAATATACATGAAAAAAAAACATTAGTGGTTCCATGTGTCTTATAGAGAATTAATTTTGGTATCACATGTATCATGATTATATAGATGAAGTGCAATTCTTGTAGAAACTCTGTTTTCTCCATGCAAGTGAACAATTAAAACAGAAAAGTCTAGATGTGCAACCCATTGTACACTGTGCCAGGCAAATTGTGTGTAGCATCCTGAGGTTCATTGCTGATGACCAAGTTTCATCACAATATCATGTCCTGGTACGATGACAGGATGTCCTTAGGTAGGTTATAGCAAACACCACAGTGACAGTGAATCAGGAGAGATTATGTCCTTTGATTGTTAAGGCTTTGGCAGAAAAGTGCTGATTCTGAATACTTAGTTTGTCCCTTGTTTTATACATTAAATGACATGTATCTATTTTGGATTTTATATACAGGGCCACTGTATTTCTTATTTAACTTCTTTTTACTTCTTGGAAGTACTGAGAATTAAACCCAGGGATGCTCTACCACTGGATTACATCCCCAACTCTTTTTATTTTTTATTTTGAGACAGGGTCTCACTACGTTGCCATGGTTGGCCTTGAACTTCTGATCCTCTTGCCTCAGCCTCCCAAACTGCTGGGATTACAGGTGTGCACCACTGTACCCAGCTTAAAAAAAAAAAAAAAAGTCACTGTGTTTCTAAAGTTCAGTGAGGGGAAAAAAAATCACGAATTCATGTGATCAGTTTTCAGTGCTCAGTATATGTACAAATGCATAGAATTGTGTCCAAAATTACAAGCTGCATGAGAAGAACTGTCTCACCTCTTTAAAAGACCCATCTTTTACCACTTCCTAGGGCCTTCATTAGCCTTCATGTCAGGTGCATTTATACTTTACAAATGGCTATAAATCGGGTATTATTTTACATTTCTCTTAAAAAATATATCTTAGGAGGCCCAACTTACTAATTCTTTTCTGTATTCACACTTCTTCTCTCTTGCTGATTTGTGTTCTATAAATGACTATAAAACACTGTCTTTTAAAAAAACTCCAGTGGGGGAAAGGAAGATTCTAGTCTAGTATTTTTCACCTTTGACATGGTACACTGACTCAGCTGAAAGGGATACTAAGCACA